TTGAGATCCTTCTTTTCACAGCAAGCTGTATCTGAGAAGTCCTCATAGCAGACCAAGTGTCCGTAGGAAGGATAAGGAGAGCTGTTTGTCTCATTCACACTCCCACATCTGCCTTTCCAGATGATTTCTGTAACTGATAACTCTGACTACTGTCCACGTTCCCTACATGTTTTAACATCATGCTCTGCAGAGGCCTATACTACTACAGCTTATTTCATAAGCAAATGAAATTGCTGTACCTCCTAATAAGCAATAGAAACAAGAGATGTCCTTTTTCCAGTAAATTCAAGGCCGTGTACCTGCCTGCCCTTTTTCATCACCAAGTCAAATTGTTATTCTACGCCTCTGGAGACATGACTGCACAGCACAAAGAAAGGCTTAGGACTGACTGAAAGCTTTACTCAAACGTATCTGAGTGCTTGATGAGTTTCCATTCCTGAAGCAGCATCAACCGTTTCACCTTTTGATACGTGGAGATCCATCTCCAGCACTCCTTAGGTCATTTCTGATGTTGCACCTCAGGGAGATGTCGGGATGCACTGAGGCAGAGCAACCAGTAGGTGACCTCCTAGACTCAAAAAGCCAGGCGAGTTCCTTTGCCCTTCGGCGAAACACACCAAGTATGTGTAAAATGCCAAAATATCTCCCAAAACATTAGTTTGAATTAAAGGTGTCTCCCATAGCCTTTCATTTTCATGCAGTCGAACTTTACTATTGCAACTGGGAACAGAAAGCCAACTGTAATGGACAAAATGGTTTTTTATTTATGAAACCATGTTTTCATCGATATCATCAATTATTCTAAATTTAAGTAACAAACTATTGTAACTTGTCAGTTCAATTAAAGACTGAAAAAGAAAAGTCAGTGGAGATTTATGTTAAGAAAAAGTACCATGGAGCTGTGGCTTTGCCTCTTGCTATTTAAAGTTTGGAAACACAATTTATCCAAGTAAACCAGCATTGAAGCAATCCAAATTAACCAACAGACTAGCCATGACAACTTTAATTATAAAAATTACTTGTGAACAAACTTCCCTGTTAATGTTTGAAAATTCAAGGTTTCCAGTGTCCTAAACAATGTGTAGTCTTTTAAATCTGTATGAAGGGGAAACATTCTGATTTGGGAACCCTTCACTCTCTCTGTACATGTAATTGTCTACTAGAAGGGAAAAGATAATAATGAATCAGGCCTGTAAAACTGAAATATGTTAAATTGCACTAAAAATACCTTTATTTAGATAACTGCAGCCCTTTCTTTTTGCAAACTATTGTCCAATATACAGTACAAGTTTACATGAGAGTTGGAACACAGTACAGACATGCATGATGCACTCCTTCAGGGTCCTCACCAAGCATGCAGGCACAGCAGATCATGTTACCAAAGAAAGAAAAAAGAATACTAAGAAATAACCTTAGGAAATTGTTGCTATATGCTGTTTGATCACCCCCTCTGCAAGGACAGATGGGAACGGAATGAATCTGGAAAAAGTTTGGCGCTATATTTTCCAAGATTCTCAATATCCATGCATTCTGCCAGAAGTACCCTCAAATGCATCCATGCAAATGTCTTTCACTGTGCTCTTGCCCCCCTGATTGCTCTGTATCATCTCTACTCACTTCCAGTAACAACCCCACTAAATCCTAGATTAGTGTTAATTTTATGTGTTCATTATGTCTGTGCTTAGCAGTTTCTTTGCTCATAATATTGAAGAAGCATCCAATGTAAATAATGTGTAAATAACATACCCTACATATTTCTGGAAATCATATTTATATACAATCTAAATATTGACACTTATGTATTTAATTCAACACTGTTATTAGTGTTTCTGGAGTAAATATATGGTACAAGTTGCTGTTCATGTGGCCCTACTTCAAGCATTACACTATTTAAAGTGAACAATAGGTAAACAACACAAAATAAATTTGAAGCCCATGACTAAAGTGTACAATGTATCAGCTACTAATACGAATTGCAATGGATAAATCCTGCAATATGAAGTACTCCTATGATTAAAGCCAACAAACAGATTTCACCACTTCTGACTACCAAAAGCAAAAAACATTCTTAAAATGTGACTGGCTAAAATGAAGGAATTATTACATTAACAACTGATTCATTCATGCGAAGGTGAGTTAAGTAACTATTTACTCCATTTCATCTTAGGCTATCTATTTTATTAAAGACTCAGTTACAAGATCTGACTGGCACTGTTAATTAATCACATTAAAGCACTGTATTTTCCACATTCAAGTACTAGCATATGATCTATTTAATTAGTATATAAAGGGCTTCAACTGTCCCTGACCATTTACGTAAGAGTTATCATTGAAGTCAAGTGCTAACAGAGCAAATAAATGAGGCTACCAGAAAGGAAACATAATAGACTCGTCCCTCTGTGAACACCAGCTGTTACCCTGCGCCCTCAGAGCATTCAGCAAATCAAAAAGGTATGAGGCAGGAGACAGATGATTCTGACAACACCCCTCACATTTTGGGTCATGCTGAACCTATGTTGAGACAGAACTGATTCCTAACTTGACATTTCCCAGTAACTCTCCTCTGCGTCTTTTCACGCGTCTCTTACGACAGCTGGAGGCAGGCTTCTGCGTACAAAATGCAGAACTAGGTGAAGGCACCCAAACGGAAGAATAAAAGGAAATCGTTTCAAAATTACAAAACAAGAAAGCTGCCAGGACTCGCAGGGGCTTGGAACTTCTAAAGGAATTTCAAAGCCTAGGGAATGACTAAGAAATAAGAGAAGGTATTTCCTTTCAAAAGCTGGCACTGCTCCAAAGAAGAGCTAGCTTCTGCCAATAGGAAGCACTCATCAAATTTTCCTAAGCACAGTTGTTTACCTCCCAGAGTATCTTCCAAGAAGAGGTTCCAGTTCTGAACCAGGATGTGCAAACAAAGAAAAACTTACCGGAACAGGAGCTTTTAGGCATGTGAGATTTCAACAGTTGGCTGTTTTCCTCAGAGAGCTTGCTCAACATGTGAAATACTTACACAGAATCCAGGACGCAGGCTGTCAGTTCACTAGGACAGCACAACAGCAAGCTCAGCCTCTCTTGTATTGCCCACGCACATTCTGCAACATCACCCCCAATGATGCACTTGCTGCATCGTCTCAACTAAGTGTAGCACCTTTACCTTTTTTCTTTCACTTGTGACTACCACCACCAATGTATCACCATGCATCAGTGTACAAAGGTGGACACAATACCTCTCAAGTAACACCACATCTAAAGACAGAACTCACAGTGCACAACTCTGTCTGTGGGCCCAAAGTAAGACACTGAACAACCACAGCCTCCCCTTGACCTGTGGGATTTCTTCACATATCAGCAAGCTGGGGCGCCCACCAAACAGATTCCCTGCCCTGAGCCTGCTTCCCTGGCCAGCTGATCCAATGCTGCTTGATTCCCAGGTGGCACCTCTCAGGGACTGGCAGATGACATAAATCCTCCCAAGGGCATCCAGTCACTATGTATAAAGATCTGTTTACATGACCAATGTTTGCAAAGCTTTCCAGTAATGTTTCATTTTTACAGAACTAGTAGCACAGGGTTGCCGGGAAGCAAGCCTTTCCATTTACTGTGGTGTGGATATCTTGTCTTCTTTTAAATTCCCATGAGTGGTGTGCTCCAGTCTCTGAACGTGCAAGAGAAATTTAGTTCTCAGTCTGACAGAACAAATCAAATCAAGAGATCGTTATCTCAAAATACTGGAATGTCCTTGTAAGCAGGTAGGCTTTCCCTTTATAATCAGCACTCTGTGACAGTGGGAGATCAACTTTCAGATGAGAGTGGGGATTAGCAGGCTGCCTCTACACTGAGACCTCTGCTGTTAAATAAGCATGTCAGTTTTCTGGAAAAAGTAGTAATTTGGCAAAAAATTGCAACTGCTACAGAATTATATATGTCAGTTAATTTCTGGTCTTGCCTGAGACCAGAGAATTCTTGAGTTTCAGAGGAATCTAACAACATGAAGCAAATGGGAATTAAAACGCATGGGAAATTCAGGGAAAAGAAGATACTATGCAGATGCAAGGAACATTCTGAGCTCTTTATATAGGTTGCTTAATCTTAAATTTACTGCTACCACTCCAAAAAGAGATGACATATCATTAGACCTTGTTAAGAAAAATCTGCCATCTTGTATTCTGTAACATTAAAAAAAGGAATTGCATACACAAAATGTTAGAAGTCATGAAGCATGAGATGATTTTGCTGCCAAAAAATCTGTGATTCAGAAAGGTTACCACAGGAGAGGGCAACAACAGAGGTTCATATTTTTTAAAAATTAAGTTAATCGGTTGCTATACTTGCATCTACAACTGGTCTTTGGGAAGTGTGCTTCCCACGTGCCTTTTTTATGAGGTACTGCATGAAATTTACTGCTACTAAGCTACCACTAAACCTGGAATACGGCACAACCTCTTTGAATGTAGGCAATGCTAGTAAACTGCCTAGAGGAGCTCCAAGGTGAGCTTCAGTGCCTATGGCTGCTGGGAACTCCAATGGCCATGAAGGGAGACCCTCTTTTCCTGAAGAAAGGCCTTGTAAAAGGCCCAACCTCTAGCCAACTTTCAGAATATCTTTGTTCCAGAAACACTGACAGCATTGTCTGAGTTAACTCAGACTTCTCCAGTGAATCAGAAGCAAGGCTTCCTTGACTGTGGTGATGGGAGAACTAGTTCTATTGGGCTGGGGAGACAGAGAAGCCTACTACGAGGGCATGTGATCTCTGTCACAAGATATACGCTGCCTGAGTCAACTGATGCTGCCTGTAGTGGCTGCAACACCGCTGTGGGGAAAATACAGACAGAACTCCAGCATGAAGTTCTGAAGGTATTGGAAGAAGAGTTGTAACAGGAGGCATTCGAGGTACAAGTGTGATGAGATCTCTCCCTCGCCACAAAAGCAGCTAGGTCAGAGGACTGAGTCATATCAAAGAATCGCCAGTCTATGCCTGTTGCCCACTACACAGATCTAAGATGGACCTGAGGCAGACCTACCCACTGTTCCTTGTAATTCTGGGTAGTAACAGGTACCAGGAATGCACGTGGGTGGAACACAATGACAAAGAACTGGAATGCAAGGTACATGTTTGTAAGATGCTTGCAGGAGAGTCAGGGTTTAAAGCTGGACTCACTGGGTCTTTTCCACGCTTTCCTGGTGGTACACTGGAAACAATCATAGAGGCCAATGAGGCAGAGTCTCAATAGTAAGTATTAAGGGAGAAGGGATGATAGCTGAGCAAAAAATCACCTTTCTGCAGGACTTGCTTGCGGCAGTGTTAAGAGAAGGCAAAGCCAACGTCACATCCTACAGCATGCGGATAGGTTAGCAGCTCCATGCAGTAGGCAAAGGATACAGATTCTGCATAATTCCTCGTACTATAGGAGTATCACCTTTTTGCTGAAGAAAAGGTATGTCATTGTTCCTACTAGGCTTGCCAGACTGCTGAAAAGTGCTATATCCTTTATTATCACGTTGCCTGTAAATTGTCCCCACCCACTACAGCAAGCAAGAGCGACCCTTCCACTCAGAGCAAGAGGAGCAGCATGAACCCCATGTATGTTTCCAAAAAGCCTGAGCTGTTAAGACTAGAAGGAAGTGTTGCCAGTACCCCAGACAACTGAACAAAGTGGCTGAAGTGAAACTCTTCCCCTGCTCCAACTGACAATAAACTCAGCAACTAGGTTAGCAGAGTCTTTTATAGAAAGGTAATGGTTACTTTCCACCTTAAGACTGAGAGCACCAGAATTTTGAGATGCGCTCTGGAACCCCAATGTGCAATGATGAAATTTAAGAATAAGTAAAATGAACACAAAGTTCATTACAAACATTACAGGTTTGGAATAACCTCATTTTAGGCTGCAGAACAGTTCCCTTTCTCATTTAATCAGCTATTGATACAGATCTGGGAATATTCCAGCTGTTGACACAAGCTTGGGGCCCTGGGCCACCTCCCAAGTGTTTTCAGATGCACATTGTGCAAACAAGCTCTTTCTCAGACTATGCTTGTTAGTTAAACTATCTTTTCTCTACACCCTCTTCTTCCATTTTCTTTCCCTCTATTCCCCCTTTTTTCATACATAGATAACATTCAACTCATATTTCTTTCTCTGTATCTGATATTACACAAGGGCAAAGCCTCTCCACCTTCGTTAAACAAAATGATTTCCTTTGGTGGGTTTGCCACCTGGAACGTACAACATAAAACTATGTTAGCAGGAACTAATGTTGTTTCTGGCAGGACAGCCAACAGTATCCTCATTGGCACATCCTTTAGATCGATGGTGGTGCTGAACTAAACGGCAGGGTGAGAAGCATTCTTGAGTAACTAGAGCACTGTCATGTGGATCACAGGCTTGAATCCAATGACTGAAAAAAAGAAAAATACAAAAACCAGAATGTGTAACAGTGAGTTTGAAAAAAAAAAAAGGTGGAAATCAGAATTAAAATTGAAGTCTTTTAATTAAAGCTTTCTGAAAGGGTGTCTCAGTGCAAGACCAGCTTTATTGAACTTTTCTTTGCCACTCTTTTACCCAGTGACTTAACCATATATTTCATAGAAGACTTTATGTATCATAATGGTAGTAACATAATATTTGTGAGCCTAAATGCATTCTCAGTAACTACATCACAGCTAGTTTTAGCAATGCTACTAAAATTATTCAACAGGACTAGATTGCAGGGTGTCATGCCCTTCTTTTGCCAGCTATTACTGCCAACGCTAGACATGTTAATGGATGCCATTATTATATTCAGTAAGAGTGGACACCACCAGTGTCAAGGGCAGCTTCCAGTTTTGTGCCTGGTCACATATCACTGAGAAGTCACTCATGTACCACTACTAGTATATATGTCTCTGCACTTCTGAAGTTTATTCACGATCACAACTGTTTGTTGCAAAAGGAAAAAGATGCTTTTGCTCTGGTACCATATAAAATTAAATAGGAAAATTAAAGCACATACAGACAGAAAGTTAGGATTTTTCTTCTGCCATAATGCTAAGAAATCTGGATATCTATATGATAAATCACATCATGGCTAGTCTCAGCAGTACAGCTATAAATATCACAAAGCAGCACAAGCAGGGGCAGCCTGTTCAACATTTTTGTTTGTTGTAAAAAAGGGCAACTTACTTGAAATGAATGTCTGAAATCAGAAAAAGATATTAATACTGGATCTGCATTTTGTTAGAAAACAGTAAAGTTTTTAATTGGGAATTAGAATTATAGAAGAAACATGAGTCCAAAGCCAGAAGCGACATACAAAGGAGAAGCAGGTAATTTTCAATGACGGGTATCTGAGGGGCTTAGCAGGACCAGAACAAACAACTTTTTTGCACTCAGACTAAAAGGCTTATCAAAAAGTCACCATATTTTTCACAAAGGTGTCAAAGTAGAAAGGTGAACTCTCAGCCTTAACTAAATGTCAGGCTGCAGTGAGTAAGGAAAGAACAAACACAAACTTATAAACGTGGAGTTTGTTCTTTGTATCATGAAGGCCTGGCAGAACTCCAATACTGGAGTAATGCCAAACCAGCACACCAGTGCCTTTGAACTTTTAAAGCTCATTTTTTCCCTTTACTGTTTAACATCTTAACTACTTTAAATTCAATGGACGAATGGATTTCAGACAGAAACGTTAAGTAGCCAAAGTTTCAACATTTCATAACTACTCAGGTCGTGGGCAACTGCCACGAGCACAGCATGGAAAGCTTTGGGCACTGAGCTAAGGTCGACATTTCAAAACAAACCCAGTGCCCTCGGTGGTTGTGTATCGCTGCTTGCACGTTGCTGAACAGCTGCATTCCCATGTGCATAGTATTTCGAGGCTTTCTACCTACAGAACTTCTACTTGTCTGGGCCCAAGATATCTCAGATCTGACACTAACCCATGACAGTACAATGATGTCCTTCATCAGACAACGTGGAAAGCGCATGATTCACTTATCACACAGGACTGCTACTTTTAAGAAATAGGCTGGATTCATAGAATAGAATCATAGAATCATTAAGGTTGGAAAAGACCTCTAAGATCATCGAGTCCAACCGTCAACCCAACACCACCATGCCCACTAAACCATGTCCCTAAGCACCTCATCTACACGTCTTTTAAATACTTCCAGGGATGGTGACTCAACCACTTCCCTGGGCAGCCTGTTCCAATGTTTAACCACTCTTTCAGTAAAGAAATTTTTCCTCATGTCCAATCTAAACCTCCCCTGGCACAACTTGAGGCTGTTTCCTCTCGTCCTATCGCTTGGTACCTGGGAGAAGAGACCGACCCCCACCTCGCTACAACCTCCTTTCAGGTAGTTGTAGAGCGCGATAAGGTCTCCCCTGAGCCTCCTTTTCTCCAGGCTAAACAACCCCAGTTCCCTCAGCCGCTCCTCATAAGACTTGTTCTCCAGACCCTTCACCAGCCTCGTTTCCCTTCTCTGGACACGCTCCAGCACCTCCACGTCCTTCTTGTAGTGAGGGGCCCAAAGCTGAACACAGTATTCGAGGTGCGGCCTCACCAGTGACGAGTACAGGGGCACGATCACTTCCCTACTCCTGCTGGCCACACCATTTCTGATACAGGCCAGAATGCCATTGGCCTTCTTGGCCGCCTGGGCACACTGCCGGCTCATGTTCAGCCGGCTGTCGACCAGCACCCCCAGGTCCTTTTCCGCCAGGCAGCTTTCCAGCCACTCTTCCCCAAGCCTGTAGCGTTGTATGGGGTTGTTGTGGCCAAAGTGCAGGACCCGGCACTTGGCCTTGTTGAATCTCATACAGTTGGCCTCGGCCCATCGATCCAGCCTGTCCAGGTCCCTCTGCAGAGCCTTCCTACCCTCGAGCAGATCAACACTGCCGCCCAACTTGGTGTCATCTGCAAACTTACTGAGGGTGCTCTCGACCCCCTCATCCAGATCATTGATAAAGATATTGAACAAGACCGGCCCCAAAACTGAGCCCTGGGGAACACCACTTGTGACCGGCCGCCAGCTGGATTTAACTCCACCCAATTGAATTCAAAGGACAAACCCTGAGGTATCTCTGCATGCTCCCTTGCAACTTCTACTCATCAATCACTAACCTTTTATCTGCTTTCTTGTTCTTTTTAGCCCATTTTTAGCCCATTCTCATGGCATCTGTTATAGCTCCACTCTTGGCACTTGTGTTCCCACGGGAAGTTGTCCCTTTCCCTCGGATTCTGCTCGTGACTGCTTTGGGACAGGTCGCCTCTGGGAAGGTGGCCACAGCCCAGCTTTAACTGCATCGCCACCTCTGACCGCGCTCGGTCCCTCCTCGAGACACTCCTCAACTGGGGCGACACCGCCCCCCCCTCC